ATGACTAGGGACTCTGAGTTTGGCTGAGCATCAATGTGCTCAAATTGCTCCATGGTACTGTATTTGAGATCATTCCCCAACTGCAGGGAAGAGGCACCTCTGCTCCAAGATGATGAGAAGGAATGTTTTTGCAACGAGGAGAAGTACCATCTCTCTTTCTCAAGAGGCAGAGGTCAGGAATAGTTTGGAGACAGTTTCGGTCACCTCATTGTTATTTATAACTCCCTGAATGTGAAAGGATCTGTCTCTGTCCATGGTATCTCCAGGGAGAGACAGACTCCTGCAAGGAATTTCTCAGGTCCTTGCTTGGCTCAGTTCTAGATACTGATACAGGAATCAGTACCAAATCTCTCATTACACTCAATCACTCAGTGGCTTTATCCTTGGAGTAATGATGTTTTGTGTTATTTCCAGATGATACCAAGATGGGAGGGATTGCGAATAATCTGGAGGATAGGGTCATAATTAAAAAAGACCTGGACAAATTGGAGAAATGGTATGAGATAAATAGGATGAAGTTTAATAAAGACAAATGCAAAGTGCTCCACTTAGGAAGGAACAATCAGTTTCACACATACAGAATGGGAAGCGACGGTCTGGGAAGGAGTTCGGCAGAAAGGGATCAAGGGGTTATATTAGACCCCAAGTTAAATATGAGTCAGCAGTGTGATGCTGTTGCAAAGAAAGCAAACATGATTCTGGGATGTATTAATAGGTGTGTTGTGAGCAAGACAAGAGAAGTCATTCTTCCGCTCTACTCTGCGCTTGTTAGGCCTCAGTTGGAGTATTGTGTCCAGTTCTGGACACCGTATTTCAAGGAAGATGTGGAAAAATTGGAGAGGGTCCAGAGAAGAGCAACGAAAATGATTAAAGGTCTAGAAAACATGGCCTATGAGGGAAGGCTGAAGGAATTGGGTTTGTTTAGTTTAGAAAAGAGAAGATTGAGGGGGACATGATAGCAGTTTTCAAAGGGTGTCATAAGGAGGAGGGAGAAAACTTGTTCATCTTGGCCTCTGAGGATAGAACAAGAAGCAATGAGCTTAAATTGCAGCAAGGGAGGTTTAGGTTGGACATTAGGAAAAAGTTCTTAACTGTCACGGTGGTCAAACACTGGAATAAATTGCCTATGGAGGTTGTGGAATCCCCATCCCTGGAGATATTTAAGAGTAGGTTAGATAAATGTCTATCAGGGATGGTCTAGACAGTATTTAGTCCTGCCATGAGGGCAGGGGACTGGACTCGATGACCTCACGAGGTCCCTTCCAGTCCTAGTATTCTATGATTCTGCTGGACATTTCTTCAATTTTAGAGATAAGTTCAAGCTCAGACTGGCTATGTAAGTCAGTGTACTGATTATGAGAGGGCATAAGGGCCAGCTTCAATGCTTGAAGAGCCAATAAAGGAGTCAGAGTCATCAGTGCCAGAGCTGCTGATTCTGAGGTAGTTGGTGCTGAGGTTTTGGGCATCAGGACGGTCAATGATGTTGAATTATTCAATACCAACTTCACAGGGGGCAACTTAGTTGGTATCCACTGCCTTCTTTCCATCTAATCCCACAGTGTCCTGTGTGCTCCAACTAGTAGTGCAGGCTGATACTGGTTTATTTGGCCTCGCTATGGTTATAACTGTCACCTCTGGATCCAAAGTGACCCATGTAAATTGATCCAGCAAATGTAGCTTAAGTCTAGAATCCCTCAACCTATAACACCTAGAAAAACAGAATTTGCAATCAGAGCACCTGTCAGAGCACCTTACCTTAAGGTAAAAGAGATACTGGCTTTATCCATCTTTCATGGGGATAAGACTGTTGAGGGAATAATTTAAACCCTGTGAGGTATTGGCACAAAGTACTTCAATCTACAGTGGATGCTATTCAAAAAGTTGATCACACAGACATGAGGTGCATGCACACCTACAATATGATCCACACTGAGACATACTTGAAGAACAGCTATGATAGGTACTTTACCTCTGTATTATATACAATGAACTTATATTTTCTAATTCTGAGTACTGTCTTGCCAAGCATTTATTATTCATACCTCTCAAAGACTTCACAATTTGAGTGGAGCTTAGCAAACAATTTGAAGACATACGAGAGAAGTGATTACTTTGCCGATCTGTATCAATGGAGCCCACTTTCTATAATACTTCTTATGAGGTCTGATTAATATCAACTCATTCATTCAAAATTTAATTTTTCAGGATACATTTTTAAATTGTCATAAAATGTTCCTCTCTGCTCTTAAATAGGGATGTTAGATGTAGTGTAACTGAATAATCATGTAACCATACAAATTATCATCAGTTACACAGCTACTCTATAGTCCCTGGGGGGTAGGGGCAGCAGTCAGTGCACTCCCAGCCCCACTCCCAGGGAGCCCCCTGCCCTGTGCTGCTGCCTCTGTATCAGAGGTACCAGCAAAGGGTGGCAGGTGGAGCCAGTCCAGAAGGGGAAACAGTTTAAAACCAGTTCCCCTGTAGACCAGCTGCCTCACCCCACTGCTGCTTCTGACAGACATCCCTACTCTTAAAAATTATCTTAAAACTGGTATTGTAGAATTCTATTTTTACTGTCATTAAATGATTTTCAATTAAATATTATTTGCATACTTGTTGTTGTAGTCTGTAGCGTAGAAATGAAGAAGAGCTTGGGAAGCTCAAAATCTTGCCCTGTACACTCATGGAAATCAGTCCAAAAAGAGATATTACCTCACCTTTGCTGTCTCTCTCAAATAAAATTAATCAGTTTAGAAGTAAACAAATGGTCTTTTTTGTTACATTGCCTCTGCAAATCCTCAGGGGGGGAAACACGTATCCTGTAGGTGAGCCACAAAAACATTCAAAAAGTAGTAGTACTAAAATTTACTAAGTAGTACTAAATTTCAGAAAAACCCTTATGATTAAATCATAAGGAAAATCTGAGACAAACTTATCCCTCAGTAAATGGACATTAAGCCCAAGGAAAGTTGCAAAAACTATGGCAGATAAAAGTTAAAATGAAAATTTACAGGCCTAAGATGAAGTCTGAAGAAGCAACTGCCAACAACCAAATAAATAATTTATTTATATCAGAAGTTGAAAAACTGTGAGAAGAGCAGTGAGTTTGCTGAACTATCAGAGACTAACAAGAGCAATACGATATTACAGAAATGTTACATGGTTCATTTGCATCATCTCTCAGTAAGGAGGGTGTTTAGGAGACATCTATCCCATACAACTCTTTTTAGGTAATTAAATGCAGGTTTGGTAACAGAGTGAGGTACTAGTGCTAGAACAAAATGGTAAATTACATACAGGTTGAACTTCTATAGTCTGGCATACTCGGGACCTGACCAGTGCCAAACCAGAGAATTTGCCAGACCACAGGAGGTCAGTATTATCTAGCAGCATTACCAACACTTGCACTGCTTACTGGGATCTTAGAAAATATTTAAGGGTAAATTAGAGTAAAATCATGGCACAAAATACTGAAAGCCAGGACTGGTGGCTGTAAACAAATGTTATGGGATCACAGGAACTTGGTCACACCCATGGCAAGTGACGCAAAATGCAGGACAATGTAGCACTTTAAAGACTAACAAGATGGTTTATTAGATGATGAGCTGTCCATGGCAAGTGGACTTCCTGCTAACTAATGCCAGGAAACAGATTTTACCAGACCAGAGAGCACCAGATTAGAGGGGTTCAACCTATAACAACAAAATCACTTGATATGCATTCAAGAATTCTGTAGGAATATATAGTGATTGAAATGCTAACAAAAATATGCAAGCTTTACCTAAAATTGCTTACTACAACAGAGGTTTGGAAGGTGGCAAATACAACTGCCTTTAACAAAATGTCTTCTGGGGTAATCCAGGAATAATAGATCAATAAACCTTACTTCGGTCCCTGGTAAACTGGTTGAAAAGATCAGTAAAAAGAGAATTTTAAAAAACCCAGAGAAGTGTAAGATGATAGACAACAAGCCAGCACAACTTCTGCTGAGGACAATTGTGCGTCTTTAATCTATTGGAATTCTTTATGGAAGTAGTTCTGAATCTATGGGTCACATGTGGTCCAATTAGCTCACAACTGTGGCTCAGCCTAGCAGTGTGTTAAAGCCTAGCCTTCATAGTGGGGTCCAGGTTACCGACTGCTCGCTGCAGTGGGGTCCGGGCTGCTGCTGCTCTGCCACTGTGGCTCTGGTAATATAAATAAATTGAGAACTTTCACTTTAAGAATAAAAATAAAGTGGAATCCACTGATGAAATGCATAATAGGAGTTTCAAAATGCCTTTGAAAATATTTCTCAAAAGGCTCTTATAGAAAAAAGCTGTCTGTGGGAAAGTGACAAAATATTGCCGAAGACTAGAAACTGGCTAACACTGAAAAGAAAGAATAATACTGCAGTGCCCCAATGTTCCACACAATGACAGGTGTTCTTTAATACACTTATTAATTATCTGGAAAAGGTGGTAACTAGTGAGGTAGCCAATTTGCAGGGGGAAAAATTATTTAGGCTAGTCAAGACCTCAGAAAACTATAATGAACTTTGCAGGGGATTCACAAATCCAGGTGAAAGGGTAGCGCAAGGGAAGATGATTTCTCTGTAGATGAATGCAAGGTAATACATACTGTAAGAATTAAGTCGAACTACTCATTCATGTTGCTGCATTCTAAATTTACTCTAACCTCTGAGAAAGGAGACCTGAATATCATAGCTCAGTAAAAGCCCTATGTTCAACACACAGGAGTGATAAGAAAAACAAAAAACCATGTCAGGATAAAAAGAACCAGAAATAATATAATATGGAAAATACTGTACCACCATTCTGGAAGATGTCTCTCTGATTGTTGTAAATTTACATGACAGATTCACGGCAGGCATAATTCTATTGACTTCAATTGACCTTAGATTGCAAAGCATTTGACCCCACAAATTTTGTTCGTATTCATTAGTTCAAAATATTAGCAAGAGTTCAGTAATATAAAAAGACAGAAGAGCATTATCCTACCATGGCAACTACTGGAGTTCTTTCTGCTGATGACAAGAAAACAGATAATTGCTTATGTTGTTTATGTGGTTCGTCAGTGCTCCCTTTGACCTGAGAATTCCAAAGTACACAGAAGTGTTAGTCTAAAAAAAAACCCCTCTATTTCAGAATCTGTAATTTGCTTTGCAGTTTGAATTCACATTAGTTCTGGTGACATTAGAATCAATCCATTGTATACAAATAGTTATACATTCTCTCCTCCCAGCCAAATTCCGCATTACAATATAAACCTCTTGAAATCTTACACAAAGATATATGATGTGATATGATATGATACGATACAATATGATATGATACAATACGATACTCAGGGCTCAAAACTCAGCAAATTAAAAGCTAAGATATAATAGCTTGGACCTATTCCTCAGCTTGGACCTATTCCTCATCTTTTATGTTTTACAGCAAACATTTGATAATATAAACATCAAAATATACAAGTTATCTAAAAAGAGAAATAGGAATAAAAATAGATTAAAGCACAAAGCTAAATTTTATTTTGAGCATTTTAACTTTTAAAGCTCCTACTTTGAGGCTACGTCTACACTGGCATGAATTTCCGGAAATGCTTAAAACGGAATACATTCCGTTTTCAGCTTTTCCGGAAAAGGAGCGTCTACATTGGCCACGGAGTTTCCGCGATAACGATGCGCTTTTCCGGAAAAGCGCGTCTACATTGGCGGCGCGCTTTTCCGGAAAAGCAGAAAGCCCGGAACCATTTTGAAAAGGGCAAAGGCCACCAGACCTTTCCGGGGGCGGGGCCGGAGCTCCGTCCAGACGCGTGGTTAAAGGGGTCTCGCCGGGCAGCCGTTTGTCTCGTGCTCCCGTGCCTTGTGACCTCTGCCAGAGACTGGCACCCTTCACAGGGTCGGTGGTTGCCCTGTGAGTTTTGGGGACACCACCCTTTGGCCCCCCACCAGCTTTTCCTGGCATTTTATTTTTTCTGCTCTGCACTGTCTGCTATGGAGCCGTGGGTGGCCATGTACCTGCTCGGGCCCCTGTTAGACCTGTACAGGTGCCTGGAGCTCATGCTGCAGGCTGGTGCCCTGGTGTTCATGTACCAGGAGGCAGAGATTGCCTTGGACTCCCTCACCAGGGAGGTCCTAGCAACCAAAAAGCCACTCTGGAGTTTGGACATCAGCACCGACTGGTGGGACCGTGTGGTCCTCGGACTATGGGACGACCAGCAGTGGGTCCGGAATTTCCGGATGAGAAAACAGACCTTCTTGACCCTGTGCACCTGGCTCACCCCTGCGCTACAGAGAACCGCCACCCGGCTGCGGGCACCCATCCCCGTCAACAAGAGGGTTGCCATCGCGCTGTGGAAGCTGGCCACACCGGACAGCTACCGCTCGGTGGCAC